AGCTTTAACCAGAAGACAACACTACACTTTCTGACTATTTTTCATTATATTTATAGATTTAAACCAAGTTTCAATAAGTCCTTGAAGGGCTGGGGATTTAGCTCAGTGGTTCTGCTGCCTGCCTCGCAAGCGCAAGGACCCGAGTTTGATTCTCGGTACCAAAAAAAAAAATGTACCAATAAAATAAAAAAATAAAAAATAAAAATAAGTCCTTGAAATACTTTCTATCTATCTCCTCCATTCAAATTTTCCATCTCATCAAATTAGTTGCCTATACAAAAAGTTAAACCGGCTCAGGCTTAATAAATAGCAGAAATACCCTTTATGGTCTGCTTAATTGGGCAAAGCACTTATGAATTTATAACAATACATTTAATGCTAAATACCCTATGCAGTAGGTGATATCATCCCCTTTTATAGAGTTGACATCCTCAGGATCACAGAGCTACTTACAGCACAGGTGGAATCTTCTTTCCTCAATGCAGCACAATCCTCCTAAAGATCAGTTACGATTCCCAATGCTTACTCAAGGAAAAGTCATAATTGTTAATTTTTTTAAGAACCATGCAAGATCATCATGGTGAAGTTACAATATATGCCAAAAACTAAACTGTCATTAAACTGTCAAACAGGCTTCAAGGTAAGGCTATTCTCTAAGGGCAAACAATGATAATAAACAGAGCTCATATCTATTTTTGGCTTCAATGTGTTTGTCCTAGCAAAGGCCACTCAGAAATAACTCTTCTTGTGGAGTCTCTTAGAGAAAACAATAAACTAAACAACCAGGACAGGAAAAAGTTACATAATAAAGAACTGGTCAGAATTAAAAAAAAAAAAAGGCCAACTAACCTACAATCTCCTGGAATAACTTGTTCCTGTGAGGCTATTGCTTATTTTCACCTCACTACATGTATTAGAAACACATAACTGTCTCCCTTAGAAGATATTTCAGTAGAGAAAATAGTATGATTGGCTTTTAGCACACATTATGAAATAGCAAGTACTTTTATCTTTTTTTTCTCCTTAAATATTCTCCCTTGAAAAAAACTGGATTTCAGCTCCAGCTGTTTTTACATCATGACATGAAATGGCCACTGGGACCATATTCATGTAGAGATCAAGTTAGCTATAAACTTAAAAGGTGCTTTACACAATTATAATTTCCTGCCTCAAGTAGTGTGAATTGTCATCTCTCCCTTGAAAAATGCAGAAACCAAGGAACTTAAGTCTCTTTACAATGAAATTTTAGTTCATTTTCTAAGTTATCCTCACATATTTCATGCCACTGAAAGAACAGGTAGCATAACAGGATATAGTTATTTAGAATTTTCTCTCAACTTGCAGATGTATTCCCTCATCTCCTCCCCAACAAAATATAGAAAAATCTAAAAATCTACACAAATGGTATGATAAACAACAATTAACGATAGTAATGACCAAACTGTATTAGTTGAACAATCCAGGATTGTGTACCACGAAATAACTATTGAACTTTATCCCTAGTATGAAGCTAGTACTAGGAAACCAAAATTTTCACAGCTTGCTTCCTACTGTACACCACAGAACCATCCCCAGAGGCCAAAATGGGACCCCATCTCTCTCCACAAACACTATATCTATCTGAAAAATTACCTAAAATTCTGGCTTAAGCACACTTACCTTAATAGGATACATGTAAAGAAAAATTAAGGATCAATGGTGTTCACATGTATTGTTCTATTACAAGCAGAAATCTTCAATTCCTTAGAGCCAGAACACTTGGATTTGATTCCTGATTCTAGCACTTACCTATTAGTCTGTCTCTGTCCTTGGGAGAATTATTCTTCTCCAGGATTCAGTTTCCTTGCGTGTAAAATGAGTTTAATGGTACTTACCTCTCATTGGCTATTCTGATGTTACCTTATCAACTGGTGAACAAATCACAAATGGATTCTGCAGACTTTTCTATGCTATACAGCACATATGCTATGTCTAATCTAAATATGTGTACATACGTACATATGGTAAAAAAAATTAAAATTTATTATAGAAACATTGATCAATGGTACAAAATTAGGCTGATACTAAATTATCAACCTAATTTATTATAGAAACATTGACCAATGGTGCTAAATTAATTGATACTAAATTAGGTAAGAGTCAGATGTTCTGGTGTGGCATTTTGCACTGTAGGGTGACTATAATTATGTATTGTAAAAATATAAAAAAAATTTAAAAATTATGTATTGTATATCGCAGAAAGCTAGAAGAATTTTCAATAAACATTTTTACCACAAAGAAATAATAACTGAGTATGCAAATATAGTTTACATGCTTAAACACAGACTTAAACAATACTCTATGTTTACATGCCCAGTTACGCACACCTGCAAATACCAGCAACTGGGAGGCTAAGGCAGGATCCTAAGTTTGAAGCCAGCCTTTTATACACAGTGAGACCCTGTCTCATCAAAAAAGAAAAAAAACAGGTCAAGCATGGTGGCACAAGACCATAACCCAACACTCTGTGAGGCTGGGGAGGACAAATTCAGCCCAGGCAACTTAGCAAGACCTTGTCTCGAAATAAAAAATTGAAAAATAAAAAGGTTTAAGGAGATAGCTTAGTGTGAAGGCCCTGGATTGAAGCCTTAGTACTGCAAAGAAAAGAGAAATGATAATATAGATACATTTGATCTCACTTAAACAATACTCTACTATGTAAAATTTTTATGTAACAGATAAATTTAGAGGCTGGGGATGGAGCTCAGGGATACAGTGTTTTAGGTTTTATCCCCAGTACCACAAAAGTAAATTGATTTAAATTTTCTAAAAATCTGTATCTCAGATGTTTAATTGAACTCGTCACAACACATAAGAGTGCATTATCATTTCCACTGTACACATAAGAAAATGGCTCAGAAAGACTGAATTTGCTATATGAAAAATAAAAGTTCTATAATAATGCATCAATTTTTCAAAGCAATATACATACAAAAAGCAGGATTGGGTCTTACCAGAATGTAACCAGAGAAAAAAGAAGTCAACTCTCGTTAAAAAACAACAAAATCAAAGCTTATGTTTAATAACTTACATTTACTAAAAGGCCTCATGACAACTGTGGAGGCAGAGTAAGAACTAGGAATTGATCAACATGCTAAAGATCACACAACTAGAAAATACGTCAAACAAGAACCAAATCAAATTTATCTTACTCCAACTTCAGTGCTCAGTCTCTGAATACACAGCCAAATGGGGAAAATGTACTTTTTGCAGTAGCCCAAATCTCTGGAGATTCTGCCTAGGAAATTAATATCATGGGAATTTGTTCAGCCTGATTTTATAGAGGCTGCCTGCCTGATCTATAGAGCTCCAATTCTAAAATGGCTTCAATATAACACAAGCACTGCCTGACGGGAAATGTACAGAAGATTATAGGGTAGGTGCCATACTCCAGGGGCTGACAGTCCATAAATACTTGGTACAGATGAAAGAGGATACTCACTGTGAAACTAGGTGTGTGGTTTAGGCCAAATCACCTGATTTCTCATAAAGACTTCATCTGTAAAATGGTGAATGGTTTCTTACCTCAGGCAGAGGCTAGGGACATAATTTAGCAATTGCTACTGGATTTTTAGTCTTACATTTTGAAGGCCTTGCTTAAAATTTTAACTTGGGTCCAGTAAAGCCAATACATACCACACAATATTCTGTCAAAGGTATGGATCCAAGAAAAATGAGGGCTAAAATAACTGGGTTAAGAAATAGATCGCACTGAAGACAGTCAAAAAGAAATTCACCAAGAACCAAGTATATTTATACATACAGTATAAATTTCCAACGGGAAAATGCAAAAAGCTGAGTAACCATGTGTTCGGTTCTGTAAGCTGCATATGTGTGTGGTTTCATGTTGAACAATTAAGACAGTGCACAGTGTAGACAATTTTCATATCTTCTAAGTTTCACCTTTCTCTTTTGGCTCTTGTGGCCTGATTTTGTATATTCATAACATCATCTGCCAAATTCCATCTCCCACACAGGGCAAGTAAAATCGTAGCCTAGCCTTACCATACAAAAATTGCACTGAAGGCAAGGACGACAGACACGCATTTTCACAGAAAGGCTGGCAAACTGTCTTACCAATGCTGCCGCCTTTGAAAATTCCATTATATGCAAGTTCTCCATTTGCAATAGACAAAGATGTACCTTCTCCAACACCAGAGAGGCTACCAAGCAAATTTCAGACCATAAAACATGTCTACAGGGAAATTTTGGATGAGGACCCAAAAGGTTCGGTAAATACCATGGGAAGATATTGCAGTTCTCAGCCTCTGGTATTTTTTCCCCTTGGGATCTAGCCTAATTCAGTAACCGGTTCCGACAAATCCATCTCTTGATTCAAACCTCAACTCTGCTGTTCCCAGGGCATCTAGAATCCTAGCAGGCTCCAAAACCAGTGAAGGGTGTTGAAATGGCTTTACTGCAAAGGGGGGGGGGGGGCTCCCCACTGCTGCCTCCCAAGGTTAAACTCCTTACTCATTCAGGGAGAGTGCAACAGGGGCATCCGTGCTCGAAAACTCGCGCGCCTTTAGCTATATTTCAATTTCTGGAAACCAGAAGGCAAAGAGCAGAGGTGACAAGGCTAGAAGGGCCGGTTCTCGCCCACCACGGCGCAGGGAGGGATCTCGCAGGAGTGGAAAGCACGGAGTGAAGGGAGTGTCCCAGGTCCACCGCCCGCCCCGCAGGTCCCTTTCAGCATAGTTCAGGGCCGCACCCCGCCCGCTGGGCAGGGCTGCAGGCGGCCAAGGAGGCCAGGTCTTCCTACAGCCCGAGGGCCCAGCCCCGGAAACAGGGAGGGGCCGCAGCTAGGCCGGGCCTGCGCCGCCAGCGACCGCGCGGGGACAAGGAGGGAACTCACGAGTACCTGGGACCCACGCACGGGGCAGCGGTCGCTTGCCGCTGCCTGAGAGGGGCTTTGAGCCTGGGCCCCTGGGGGCCGCGGGCGGGCCTCGCGCCGCACTCACCGTAGGAGGACTGCAGGGAGCAATGGCGCTTTCGACAAAGTTGAGAGCGGTGACCGCTTCCTTCCCAACCCCACTCTTCAGGCGGCAGCGTCGGCGGCGACTGCGGTGGCTGCAGCGGTGGTGGCGGCGGCAGCTACTCCAGCTCCGGAATCGGCGGCGGCGGTGGCGGCGGCAGCTCCACTTCCGCTCTGGCCACCACTTCCGCTCCAGTCCAAGTCCCGCCCCGCCCTGAGCCGTCTCCTCATTGGGCAAACGAAGCACGGGGTTGCCCCAGCCGCCCGGAAGGGGCACTGACGGAAGGGAGGTAAAAGAAGAGCGGAGGACAGGGCTGCAGCGTGTTGGGGAGGGCGTAAGGCCTGGCGTGGGAGCTAGGTGGAGCCTGGCGAAGGGGAAGGAAATAGGGCGGGGGAACAAGAAGAGGAGGAGGAAGGGAAAGGGCGGAGCTGTGGTGGTAGTCAAAAAATGGATTTTGTGGGAGCAAGGCGGACTGGGGGATTTTTGGTTGAGAATTGTCCACTAGTTAGATTGGGGACTTGCCAGGCCCAGAGATTCCGAGGGTCTTAGGTCCCTACCCCAACCTGAAAGTGATCTTATCGAGGCCGGAGGGTGAAGTCAGACCCATTTACAGTGCAGAAATGGCTCATCCCTACATTTTCAACCAATCTTTTTCAGTCTTTCAGGAAACAGTATTTCCCTTCAGTGGTAGCAAACCTGAGGCACTCTTGCCACAGGGGCCTGTTTGTTACTGAAATCTCTAAGAGATTCGCTATCATTGAATAACTCAAGGGACCATATATAAACCCCAGTAATCCAGTACAGCAAAGGCCTTTTTAAAAAAACTATACTTTGTCTTCACTTGACAGTTACCCCTCTGCAAGGCTGTAGGAGAAGCTTCAGGGAAAGAAACAGGCTTCCATGGCTCCCCAGTCCCATGACTGCTCTCACCATTACCAACATTTTACACCTCTCAAGGCGGTTGACTCTCAAACCTAGCCCTTCAAAATGTCTCTACCCTCATTCCCTCATATTGTTTCATTCTTTCCACAGATTCTGAGCAAGCTTTCTGTTTAGTGCTGGAGACAGAGCAAGATAGGAAGGAGTCCTGCTAGCTTACAGTGTACAGTTTGGTAGGGGAAAGTACAAAGGAAGCAGGCCTTTGTCATCTCCCCTTTACCCTTACTCAACGATAGACCTCTGATTCACCACTCTGCTCCCAACCTTGCCCCCATCAACCGCCAAGTGATCTGTCTTGCAGCCGCATCACTTTGCTTAAATCTTTTGATGATCCTTTAGATTCAGTAGCTCTTTGAGAAAATCAAGGTTCTCCAGAAGCCTCCTTACCCCTTAAGCCATTACCTGCTATTTTTCCCCATGTCATAAATATCCAGTTCATTTGCATGACTCCTTTTACTCACAAAGCACCGTTCTAGTATTTCTAAACAGTTTGAGTTAATTGCCAGCATTAAAAGTCAGATTTTTCTGTCAATAGAAATCTGCATCTTTGCCTTCCTTATGGCAACAACTGGCTGAGGCCAACAAGTGACTGCCTATTCTAGATTGGGCATGACTGTTCCAAAGTGTCAGGTCCTTTCCTAACCTGAGTCTGCTCTCATTTATGTTATCTGTTGTACTGACCTCTGTGTCCCAGAACCATGGACACATGGTCTGAACTGAATATTATACTACTTTTTTTTTTTTGGTACCAGGGATAAAACTTGGGACCTTGAGCTTGCAAGACAGGCACGGCACCACTGAGCTAAATCCCCAGCCCATATTTATAATTGTTATTATTATCATCTCTTTTTTTGGTACTGTGGATCCAACTCAGGACCTTGGGTTTGCAAGGCAACCGGCAGCACCACTGAGCTAAATCCCCGGCCTACTATACCACTTTTTAATTTGAACAAGTTTAAGGAGTGTGTTGTGTAGTGCAAAAAGCATGAATTTTTTTTTCTTTGGTACCAGGAATAGAACTCAGGACCTTGCACTTGTGAGGCAGGCAGCAGAACCACTGAGCTAAATCTCCGGTCCAGAAGCATAATTTTTAATCAAAATCACTGGAGAGGTTTCCTAGTCCAAAAATCCTCCAGTGACAGACCAAAGACCAATAATCCAGAGACTGCTTGGATTGCAGTAAGTTTTAAGTGACATTACTTGGTCTTATGTCCATATCTAGAAAATAGCCTTGTGGGTCAGAAGGCTCAATGATTATGCAAGTTATATCATTGGTGCATTGAGCAAACAGAAATGCCCTTTGTCGGGTCTCTCCAGGTGCCTGCTAACCAGTTGCATGGGTTTTTTTCCTTTCACCATCTCTTGTGTTCTGGGCAAATAACAACTACAATTGACAGTGACACAAAGATGTTAAAATATGCTGTGGTAGATGCAACCATAAGTTGAATCTTCATATGTCCAGGGTATTACATTAGCTTCGGAAAAGGGTACCCATCCCAATTTAGGAGTGATGAGAGAGCAAGAAGAAATTCCTGGGAGAGGAAGTATTTGACTTTTAGATTTTTGCAGTGGTTTCTTTTTTTTTTTGATAATATTGGGGATCGCACCCAGGGACACTCTGAGCTATATCCCCAGTCCTTTCTATGTTTTAGGGTTATCTTAGTTACTTTTCTCATTGCTGAGACAAAACACTCAACAACCAAAATTAAAAGAGGAAAGGTTTATTTAGCTCACAGTTTGTAGAGATTTCAGTCCATAACTTGCTGGCTCCAACGCAGGGTGGCATGGCAGTGGGGCATCATGAGAAACAGTTCACATTGAACAGAAGGTAACAAAAGCAGCAAGGGACCTTAAAGGTTGTCTGCCTACTTAGGGCAGGTAGCACTCATACCCTTAATCCTAGTGCCCTTGAGCCTAGCATTGCACCATGAATCAACTCCAGCGTCACATACTCTAGATCCAGCCACCTCTGAAAAAGCCCCACCTATGACCACATGAAGCTTTAGAGGGACATCTAACTACAAGCTATAACAAGGGCCTTGGTAAGTTACCCATGTTACCACAAACTTGCCATTCTCCTGCTTCAGCTTCCAGGTAGCTGGGATTGTAGGTGTGTGACAGCTGTACGTTGGATTTTTAAAAAGTTAATAAACATTTTAAAGAACAGTTTGACAAGATGTAACCAGATAGTACAGAGTTCCAATATTCACCTTTCCCCACCCCCATGGATGACAATCCTCTCATTAACATATTGTATTCCTGTGGTACATTTTTAAATAATTGGTGAGCCAGTAGTGATACATTATCATTAACTGAGGTTCACAGTTTATACCAGAGCTCATCCTTTGTTTTGTACACTTCTATAGGTTTTGACAAATGTGGGATATGATGTGATCAAAAAATACAGTGAGTGCAGCTGCCAAGTGCCATCCAACAAAAAGGCAGAATGAGAAGTGGCACGTGGAACCTTAGTGTTTGACAAGTTTCAACTTGCTCAATGCAGTCAGTTGGTTGTGAGCTAAAGTTAAGAGACAGTATGTTTTAAAGTGTGCTGTCAGTCATGGATCACCTAGTCCAGTGGTGGCGAACCTGTGGCATGTATGCTTCAGTGGGCTGTTTGTTATCATTGAAAGCTCTGAAAGGTTCGCCATCTCTGAGTCTGTTATGTACTTTGTTATGACAGCCCTAGGAAACTAATAGACCCAGTGAAAGACATCCACTTTTGATGATTATGAATAAAATGCTACAAATATCAGTGTGCAGGGTTTTGTCTGGACATAAATTTTTCATCAAAGTAAATACCCAGGAGCATGACTTTTAGATCATATGTTAAAACACTGTCTAGCTTTGGTAAAAACTATCAAACTGTCATCCAAAGTGGCTGTACCATTTTGCATTTCTACTAGCAGTGAGCTAAAGAAAGAGATGCTGTTGCTCCATATGCATACCAGCATCTGATACAGTCAGGTTTTTTGTTTTTCTGGATTTTAGCCATTTTAATTGGTATGTACTGGTGTCTCATTTTAATTTACAGTTCCCTAATGACATATGATGTTGAGCATCCTTTCATAAGCATATTTGCCATCTGTATATCTTTGACGGTGAGGTGTCTGTTCCAAATTTTTCCTCATTTACTAATTCAATTGTTTGTCTTATTGCTGAATTTCAGTGTTCTTTGTATATTTTTGCCTAATAGCTCTTTATCAGATATGTGCTTTGCAAAGATTTTCTCCCACTTTTCAGCTTGCCTTTCACTGTCTTAATGGTGACTTTCCAGAGCAGGAATTTTAAAATTTAACAAAGCCTAACTTACTAATTTTTCCTTCATGTATCATAATTTTGGTATTTAGAAACTCATTGCCAAACAGAAGATTACCTAGAGTTTTTTCTTATGTTGTCTTCTAGAAGTTATATAGTTTCATATTTTACACTGAGGTCTGTGATCCATTTTAGGTTAATTTTTGTGGAGAGTAAGGTCCACATCTAAATTCATTTTTTGCATGTAGATATCCAGATCTTAGATAATACCTAGTTTCTCATTACGGATAATGATAGTTGCAGGGTTTTTGTAGATATTCTTTACCAACTTTAGGAAGTTCTCTTTCTATTCTTAATCTACTGTGAGCTTTTATAATAATGTTAGGTTTTGTCAAATGCCTTTTCTGCATTTCTTGATATGACTATATGAGTTTTTTTCCTTTAGCCTGCTGTGGTGGTGGACTACATTAATTAGTTTTTTAAAGTTTAGTTTTGAAAATCTTTTACTCGTATATGTTTGTAGTATATAATGATTACATTTATCATGGGGAGTTGGTACATGTATATAATACATCTTACGATTCTTTTACATCCCCTTGCCCCTGCTCTGTCCCCTAGTTTTTCAATATTTGAACCAGCTTTCCATACCTGGAATAAATACCACGTGGTCATGACATATAATTCACTTTATACATTGAACTGTTAATAATTTGCTGAGTTTTTTTGCATGTAAGTTCATGGCAGAAATTAGCCTGTAGTTTTTCTTTATTGTAATATCCTTGTCTGGTTTGGTATTAGGGTAATGCTGGCCTAATAGTATGAGAAAGTTTCCATTCTGCTTCTGTCTTCTGGAAGAGATTGTGATGAAGTGGTATCGTTTATTCCTTAAATGTTTGGTAGAATTGACTAATATAACTATCTTGGTCTGGCATTTTCTTTTTTGGAAGACTATTAATT